GTTTTCTAACAAAGAATGACTTAATTTCCGAGAACAGTAAAACTTGACCCTATGTGAAAAAACATGGATGGAAATTATAAAATTCACATGTAAAAATATTAATGGACTATGCCATCTGAAGCTCTCTTTTCCCCCCAGCTCTCTCTATAAATACATATATATATTTTTTTTTCAACCAACTTATAAAGCATCTCCACCTAGAGGATAATAGGTCAAACTGCAGGTTTGTAGGATAGTTCGCTGTTCTATTAATAAATCAACAAATAATTGAATAATATAGACTATCATCAACCAACATCCATTCATAGTAGGGTGCAGGGAAGATTAGGAAACAAGGAAATTATTAATATTTTAAATGACTATGGAATAACACATCACTGCTTGTTAGCTTTAAATGTCTATTTAAAGAGATATTTGCTTGCTCTCTCATTTCTTCACTCATCATTCACTTTCTCTATAAATCCTGAGCACCCACTATGTGTCAGGCACTGTGCTACCTCCTGCAATATAGTGCATGATATGCTTGTATTATAAAATACTTGATGCTTCCTCTTATGGAGCTTAGTGTCTAAAAAGAATTTGTTGATCTCTCTGGACTATAAGGGTCTATGAGGACACACACATCTTATTCATTTTTATGTCCTTTCAGTAGCCTACACATAGCAGGCATTTTGTTATAAAAGTTAGTATTAATACTTTGCAGATTGCGGGGAGTTAGCTATGCTCCCAGCAAAATCAGGTCCCTTTGGCAGGGGTGTCACAAGGGATATGGAAATAATAGAAATAGAAAATAGAGAATATAGAAATAAAAGAAGACACAGAAATGAAAGTATAGTTTTAAAGATGGGCAAATCAGGGGGTCCTCCAGCATTCCCGTGAGCTGTGATGCAATGAGTGTGGTCCGGCATCAGTATTTATTGGTGCAGCCATCAGTTGCCAGTGGTAACAGATTTACATAATAACAGGTAGTTCATTTAGGTTTAGAGTCTCCCCCAAAGCTTCTAGGGATCCCTTAATTAACTCTATCTACATGAGCAAATGGTTACAAAATCTTTCTAAGATAAACTTCTAAGTCCTAAGATAAAATTACCACTTAGTAGAAAGGTTAAACAGAAATATATTGGCTCTATATTTCTTCAGCTAGTTTTTTGTTGATTGAGACAAGTAGTCAGTACTGAAACAGGAACTGTCCCTTGGGCCAGTTGTTTCTAGCTGTAGGTGTCTGTCAGGAGGGCATTCTTTGATCAGTTCTCAACCTGTGACCACATACCAAGCCTTGTCCTACAGAGGCGTCAGGCACAAGCAGCCTTCAGGTCTGAGACAGGGTCACCATGCAAATCGCTCCGATCTGTGAGATGCTCTCCTGAGGCGAGGCAGCTTTTGATATGTGAACTAACACGTTCACATATTCCTTCAAGGCAAAGCCCTGCAAAACTCCTGAAATCTTTATGTCTGATATAGGCCAACAGTAGATGGTAGTGTTAACATTAGGTTTTAAAGTTTTTAAAAACTGCCTTCATTAAGTAAATATATTAGACATAATTTATAAAACATTTGACACTAAAATTTGTTTTTAATTTGTAAAAGACTAAAAATTCAATTATTTGGAATTTTAATTAATCAGATTTTTCTTTAAATCCTTAAACAATTTATCAGAGCATTTTTATTCTAAACAGTGGTTACCTTACAAAAAGCATCCATGGTTTGGGGAATAAGGACTAAAAGAAAGATCTTATTTTCTTTCTCGGAAAAAAAGTTACTGAAATTAAAATTTAGCAAATTTTAAACTATATTTTAAAAACCGATTCCTCTAACATGGATAAGTGCTCAAATCCTACATGTGACATAAA